TTTATTTCCCACTTGAGGGAGTGTTCAGTTTGGTCGTGGAGAGAGGGTGAGTAAATATCCGTGTAATATGGAGGTGGTTCTCTTAATTTCGGTAACTGCTCTCAATAAGTGGGTATTAATTAGGGATAATATATTTTTATTTCCTAATCTAATAACTTTGTATCTTTGCAATTAAAAGGACATTATATGATAATCTTGCAAAAGTTTTTAATTTAAATGTAAGGATGCAATAAAATAGCTGAGGTGTCGTCCGTGAGGTAATTTCCTCAATACATAATTGTCCAAGAAAAAAAAAATCCATTAAAATTAAGAAAGATATGAAATTCTAAATATGTTAGAATTCTTCAGCTTATGTATATAGATATATAAAATATTTTATACCAAAGTAATTAAACGAGACAAATGAGACGATCCGAGACAAAAATATTTGAAATCGATACCAACATTGTTTTAAATGGTTGGATATCGGAACAATACTAAAAAAAACTTTTGGTACGAGTATTTTTTGGAACGAAACAAGTTTGGTTTGGTTTAATACTTGAAAATTTGATTTTTTGCTCACCCTAGAGTTGATACATATTTCAACCACCCTGAGGATATTATATTCATCACTGAATGTACATAACGTGAAAATGATGTAGCCCATGCTAATGGAGTTGTGAAGTTAATAATTTCATTGAAGTCATATTTCATCATATGCATACCCTATGTATTATTGCAAACTAGGTCCATAAATTGACTTCAAACCGTTCAATACCATGTAGTTATAACTATAATTAAGGCCTTGTTTAGTAATCAGTCGTTAGCTGTTAGCTGTTAGCGAATTCTATTAACTGTTTTGACCAGCGGATTACGTTAGCTTGTTTGACCAACTGATTGTGTTTACGATTTGTAAAATACTGTTTGGTAAAATTAGTTATTTTTAATTATTTGTGTATATGATTACTTGGAAGTTTATTAATATAATTTAATAAAATTTTATTTATCTTGGATAAATTTATTTTTGTAATACTTAGAAAATTAAAAAAAAAAATGACAAGTAATTGTACATAATTTCTAAAATAACAAATTAGTCAATCAAACATTTTTTATTAAACGTGACTGTACATAACTTATTAAACATCTTTTAGTGAGATTTTTTTTTTCATTCATCTCACTTCATTTCTTTTTTATTTATACAATTGTCTTACTCCACTACATAGAAAACCCCTTAATTAGATCCATTTAGCCAAAAAAAGTCATTTATCTTCCAAAACGCTCTGAATTGGAGCGGTTTCAATTTTAGCGTTTTCATGCAATCCGCTAACTTAAAAAGCTATCTAACCAAACATATATTTTAGCAATTTTAATTTGGTCAAACCGCTAATATTGCTCTAAACGCTAAAAGCTGGCTGAAAAGCCATTTACCAAACAAGACCTAAGTTTTATTATTGAGTGGCATTTGGTGCTTTTGCTTGGAAAATGCTACTTATGGAGCCTGATATGAAATAATAAAATACACTTGTATTGCATATGACTATAAAAGATAATGATATTATCAAGTAAAAGCTAATGACAAATTGACATTTACAATCAATGTTACAGACATTACCTCCTCTATGGAGACTAAAACCAATTGCACTAACAAAATAACTACTGAAGAAATCCTTCCCAAAGCCCAGTTATATTTACATGCTGAGGG